ATCTATCTATCTATCTATCTATCTATCTATCTATCTATCTATCTATCTATCTATCTATCTATCTATCTATCTATCTATCATCTATCTTATCTACCACTATCTATCTGTCTGTCTGTCTGTCTATCTATCACCTATCTTATCTACCTCTATCTATCTATCTATCTATCTATCTATCTATCTATCTATCTATCTATCTATCTATCTATCTATCTATCTATCTATCTATCATCTCCTATCTTATCTACCTCTATCTATCTATCTATCTATCTATCTATCTATCTATCTATCTATCTATCTATCTATCTATCTATCTATCTATCTATCTATCATCTATCTACCTACCTACCTACCTACCTATCTATATGACTGCCTCTCTAACATGCCTTCTGTGTTTATATTGTGTCATGCCCCTGTTGGAATCTGATTCCGAGGGGGAGGCCGAACAGCTGACAGGGAGTGGGAGTGTGGCTCCATTGGTTGTAGAAGAAACTGGGGAAGGGCAAAGTCCGGCTGGGCAGAGCAGGGGAGAGGTAGAGCAAGGGAGAGGGAATTCAGAGGAAGATCCAGGCCCACCCCCTCTTCATCCTAGGGAGGAATGGAGAAGGGAACAACGTGAGTTGCATGGCTTACAGGGGAGGAAAGGGGCCTGATTCCCTTCATTAGCTGCAGCTGGGAACAGTGTTTAAAAAGGGAGCTTGCATACAGCAACTTGTTGGAAACAAATCGTGTATTGTCTTGTTTTGTCGAGGCTTATCTGGGTTCCTAGCGTCTTCTCAACTGTGTGTGTTTTGTTGGCCTTTGAAATCTGCAATTCCTTATCCTGCCCTGTCCAGTTAGTTGCTGCAGCGTGGTTTGTGTGGATTTTTATTTACAGTTCATATATACTTTGTTTTCGGACTGAATTTCCTTCACTTAAAGACTGTTCTTGGGAGAGTTCTTTCTCCAGCCAAAGGTAACTGGGACATTGAGGACAAAGTTGGAGGTATTAAAGGGATTATTCTTACTTATATGACTGTGTTGACTTTGTCATTGGATATTGCTTCTGTGATTATGACTTCCGGATTCTTCTGGTTCTGACTTCTGCTGCATGGATATTGTATACATGCATCATATTGTATATTATTGTATATAAACAAGTTTCTTCTATACATGAATCCTGCTGAATTATTTATTTGTGGGCTGGTTGGATTGCTGCAAACTCTAACATGTTTCAATGGGTGTTTGGAGCTTGATTCTGAAAACTGTTGCATGATGTTATGGTGATCGAATTGCCACTTGATTTTTTTTTGAGTTGACTGACAGATATTATTTTTAATACATTTTGAATAGTCTACTGTGTTATGAATATTCCTCAACTTACAACAGTTCATTTAGTGAACGTTCAAAGTTACAACGGCACTGGAAAATGTGACTTATGACCTTTTTTCACAGTTATCCCTATAATCATGTGATCATAATTCAGATGCTTGGCAACTGGTTCATATTTATGACCATTGCAGCGTCCCAGGGTCACATGATCCCCTTTTGCAACCTATTGACAAGCAAAGTCAATGGGGAAACCAGATTCACTTAACAACCAGGTTCTAACTTATCAACTGCATTAATTTGCTTAACAACTGTGGCTAGAAAGGTTGTAAAATGGGGAAAAATTCACTTAACAAATATCTCACTTAACAACAGAGATTTTGGGCTCCATTATGGTCATAAGTCAAGGACTACCTTTATATTCAAGTGAATATACCAATTGGTATAAACTGACAGAATCTTAGGGGCTGAATGTATATGCAATAGATTAAATAATAAACATAAGGATATAAAAAACTCTACTACAGCTGACTTCTACAGTGAAATGTTGAGGATCCATCAACATTAAATGCCTTGCCATACAGATGGCACCGTCTGTTGCTGTCTACTATTATTAGTCTTTTGGGGTAAATAGTTCATGCAAGATAGTATATATTCTATTGCTGGTAGAGAACAAAAGCCTGCATAATGGAAAGTTGTAAAATAAAATCTGGATCAGAGTAACTGCCCTTCTTTCCTTCCACAAAAAGTTGTATTAAAATTCACCTTCCTTTCTTCCTTTTCTGTCACGTTTAACAGTATGGAATACCCTAACCCTTGCAAATCTCATTGCCTCTGGATTTATGTTAAAAATCAGAACAAAATGCTGCCTTTAATGTTAGCCAGATATTGCCACTTTTTAGATTATTTCAATGATCAGGCAAGAAACAGGAGAATTCTCAAATCAATCCACACGTTTTCCCAAAACAGAATAAGAGAAACTGTTTGAGGAATACAACTGTGACACTTTAAACATTTGTCCATTTAAAGGTCGTGAACTGACTCTCAGCCAGCAATTACTTGTGCTATCCCCACACAACAAATTTTTCTTACAAAGCCATGTAATAAGTTAACCAATGGATGTCTTGGCTGCCACTAATAAGAACCTCAAAGCCTAACATTGTTATTTGCATATGGTTAGTAAGTATTTCTGCATGACCCTTAAATTTTGCTATGAATGACCATTTAAATTCTGGTCTCTATAACTGGTCACCTCCACCACCAGTAAGTATAAGTACAACAGAAAGACATTTTGTGAAAAGCTTGATGTGCCTATTTCTTCTCCCTATAGAAATTCAAGATATGTCTTCTGAGGAATTAATAATTCAAAAAATTCTAGATTGTGCTGTAATGGATAAATTGACATCTCTTTTAGTTTTAAAGAGAAAGAAGAGTCGAAGTATTACAAAATTTAGGATAACTGTTATAAGTGGTTGAACAATAGAAATAAAGATAAAGGAAATAAGAAAATTACAGATAAAAGTATATGAATGTATATAAAGATGTATAAATGTAGATATTTACATGATATTGGTGTGTATAATAATTTGTATAATAATGGTGACACAGTACTGTTAAAGTTAAGATTAATATATGTAAAAGGTGGAAAAGAACAATAAAAATTATTACAAAAAAATAATAATTCAAGATATAATGAACCTTTGTGAACCTTGAACAGGTGAGTTCATGTACCCATTTTTGATAGTTATGAAAGCCGGTCTATGGGAGAATTCAACTGAATGGATCAACTCTGAAATACACACACCAGTCTTACTATTCTTAGGAAAGGCCTTACTAATGATACAAACCAAGCACAATAATCAGAAAGTAATAGGTGTCTTTTGAGAAGGACCTTCCATGCAAAAGGACTTGAAAACATCTGAATGCTGACATTATTTATTTAGCTGCTGTGGTGGCACAGTGGTTAGTGTGCAGTACTGCAGGCTACTTCTGCTGCCTGCCGGCTGCCTGCACTTTTGGCAGTTTGAATCTCACCAGGCTCAAGGTTGACTCAGCCTTCCATCCTTCTGAGGTGGGTAAAATGAGGACCCAGATTGTTGGGGGCAATAGTCTAACTCTGTAAACCGCTTAGAGAGGGCTGTAAAGCACTGTGAAGCGGTATATAAGTCTAAGTGCTATAGCTATTTATTAAATTTATTTGCTGCCCATCTTGCTTCAAGGTGATTTTGCACACTAGGTGCACACATGAAGCAAAGCCATTGTGAGGTGGGTTTAATTTAGCTGTTGGTGTTTAAACCCCAGCTTATGACTTAGCTTGTTTGGCATCTAAGTGAATGTTGATTCCCCCCCTCCCCCCATAAAATATGGTTAAATAAACCATGATTTGGTCCTATCATGCCCACAGTCATTGTGATACAATAGGCTTGCAACTCCTTGCAGAGTAGTTACCTTTTGGAGCACCTGCTTCTCCTTGGCATATGTATCTTCGACAATCTTCCGCTCCCCGTGAGCCTTCTCCAGGGCCAGCCGAAGAGAATCAATTTCTTCCTGCAAGCTCACGAGCTGATTCCTGTCTCCCTTCTTCTGCTGATGGCGTTCCAGTTCCTTCTTCAGCTTTTCAATCTCTGTGCAATGAGTAGAGGCTGCTGTGGAGAGCTGCTCACTGAGAGATTTGTATCCTTTGTTCTGCAGAGGAAGAGGTAGCAGGAAGACAGTGAACTCACCGCTCACCACTTCGGAGAATGAAATTAAATTGTAAAATTAAATTGTAAAGACTGCAGTTTTAAACATAACTAGACCATCTGCCCCCTATTGATACATTTCAGAGGTATTTCTGTACCTAAACAGAGAAACAGAATGAACATGAGTGATCAAAAAAACAGGGGGAGCAGGAGTGACTTCCGATTTCCTGCTGGCTTCCCCAGTGAGTTTCTTGTGGGAATCTGGCAGGGAGCATCAGAAATCTCCTTCTCTCCCCCCGTTTCCAGCAGGCAGGTAAATATGCTGGATTGGAGAAGGAACGAGGGATTGCGTGACTGGCTTGGAAACTGTCATGGAATGTTGAAAATAAAAATCACATGATCACAGCAGTGGCCCAGCAGCTAATAGCACTGAATCACCCACAACTTCCCCAACGTTATTCCCTTGGAGTCATGGGTCCTGGATTTTGAACATATTCTGTAAACCCACCTTAGGTATCTTGATTCAAAAACTGTCGCCCTATGACGCACCATTTCTCCCAGTTATGGGTCATGACAACGAGAGTTTAGTAGTATATAGACCAGGGGTGGGCAAACTACGGCCCGCGGGCCACATCTGGCCCGTTGGTCTGTCCAATGCGGCCCGCCCCTGAAAAAAAATCGCTGCCATTGGTCTGTCCAATCCGGCCCGCCCCTGAAAAAAAATCGCCGGGCGTGGCGTATTGCCCTGTGCCGCGTGGCCCCCAAAGCTGCAAAACAGTGCGGAGCGATCTAGGGGTAGGAAAGAAAAGAAATTTGCAAAGGCTTCGGCTGGGAGTTCGAAATCACCTTCGAGTGCGACCTCTCCGAAGGTGAGTCCCCGCCAATCCCCCTTTTTTTTCCGGGGCTTCCAGGCTTAAACTTTGCAAAGGCAAAGCTTGCAGGCTGGAGCGTCTTCCCGCCGAGAAGCGGGAAGGGTTCCACCCGGCGGGCGGGGCGGGCTGCTTGGAGCCACCTAAAGCTAGGCCGCTGCTGGTGGAGCCTTGCCCTGCCTTGGTGCCCCGTTTCCCGGCTCGGCGGTCCTGCTTGGGCAGCACTTTAAAAGCCTGCTCCCAGCACCCGAGCAACTTCCCAGAAACTTTCCGCTTAATTTTTACTCGCGGGCGCTCGTGCCTGGCCCCGAGCCGCGTGGCGGAGGGGAAGCCCGGCGGGCGGGCGGGCAGGCGGGCTGCTTGGAGGAGGCGACCCGGCGACGCTCCGGGCTTCCCCTCCGCCATGTGGCTCGGGGCAAGGCGCGAGCGCCCACGAGTTAAAACAAAGCCGAAAGTTGCTGGGAAGTTGCTCGGTTTTCCGGGGCTTCCAGGGCTTTGCAAAGGCAAAGTTTGCAGGCTGGAGCGTCTTCCCGCCGAGGAGTGGGAAGGGTTCCGCCCGGCGGGCGGGCGGGCTGCTTAAACTTTGCTCAGGCGGCACTTTAAAAGCCTGCTCCCAGCACCCGAACAACTTCCCAGCAACTTTCGGTTTCCTTTTAACTCGCGGGCGCTCGCGCCTGGCCCCGAGCCGCGCGGCAGAGGGGAAGCCCGGCGGGCGGGCAGGCTGCTTGGAGGAGGCGACCTGGCGGTGCTCTAGCAGCAGCAACAGGCAGTTTCGCCCGGGTTCCGCTCAGGTGTCCGGCTGGGGCTGTCAGGAGTTGCTACCGCCGGCGCAGCTCCTTGCGGCTCCAGTCCCACGTTGCCTTGGGAAGGAAAAGGCAAAACCAGGAGCCGCTGAGCCTGAGCCTCCGGTGCCGCTGCTGCCATTGCAAAGCACCGCCGCGGCTCTTCCTTTTTGCCTTTCCCTTCCCGAGGCAACGCGGGACTGGAGCCGTGCGGAGCCGCGCCGGTGGTAGCAACTTCTGACTCAGGGGGGAGGAGAAGGAGGAGAAGAGGGGGGGGAAGGGTGGGGGGGCGATTCCCAAAAAATCTTGTGCTGACCCGACCCGTCTGTCAAATTTTAAAAGTCAATGCGGCCCCTGAGCCAAAAAGTTTGCCCACCCCTGATATAGATAGATTACTCTTGCCACATTCCAAAGTTAAGCATCACCTTCCAACTCTCACAAATACAGTGAAATTCTAATGCAGTTGTAATTTCCAGAAATATTCATGTTATTTTATTCCAATTACATTAATTAAGAATCTTGTGGTAAAATGTACATTAAATTTACCTTATACAGCCAACATGATGCACATTTTAATGGATGAGGTAAAATAAAAAACTACAAGAGTTTGAAAAATATATAGAGTTTGAAAATATATACAAACTCTAGTTCTTGAATGATTTTGTCATGATAGAAGTATTTATCACAAAGATACTAAAAAAAAAACCCACACACTGAAATTGCAATTTAAAACGTTTGTCTATTGCATTAACCAATCAATTATGGTTTGGAAAGTTCTTATAGTAAGAAAGCTTTTTGTTTACAAATTCTTTTGTTCATTTCCAAAGTTAAAATACAAACTAAAGAGAGAGAGAGAAAACCTATCGAACACCAGACACTAACAAGAAAGCTTAATTTTAACTCCTCACTGAAGGAGAACAGGACGAGGCATAATTAGGAAGAGATATTTTTATACTAGTTTGCATACCAAAAACTTTGCAGATGCTTGTGTACCCCAGGTTGTATGACTGCCAGCAGTAATACAATGGCAATCTGGAAATGGCAACAGAAGCACAAGATCTAAATCCTGACTGGTCCTCCACCATGGCCTCAAACTGTTGATGATTGTGGTTGATATTGTTACTTTCTCTTCCTTCTAAGACTTATCCACTAAACCGGGGTGGGCAACTAAGAGGCCACATGAGGAATTGGGACTGTTGTAGAGGACCAAACCAATAGGCCTGTGAAGATGCATAGGCCCACACCAGAGATGGTATTCAGCAGGTTCTGACCAGTTCTAGAGAGTCAGTAGCGGAAATTTTGAGTAGTTCAGAGAATCAGCAAATGCTACCTCTGACTGGCCCCGCCCCATCTATTCTCTGCCTCTCGAATCCCAGCGGATTGGCTGGGTCTTCTTTGGTTGCCCTGCACAGGAGAACGGAGCTGGAAAGCAGGTTAGTGGGGTGGGGAGGGAATGGAGATTTTGCAGTATCCTTCCCCTGACACGCGTACCAAGCCATGCCCACATAACCGGTAATAAAAATGTTTGAATCCCCCCACTGCCCCCCCCACATATATGTAAGGTGGGGGGAATCCCATTGCCTTCAAAATAAAAGCAATGCATTGTATTGTGTGCTTGGTGTACACTTAATGTACATTTGATTTTTTAATTTCCAATTGATCTCATGCAAGCCAGACAGGGACAGCCAAAGTGTGAATATGGCCCGGGGGCTGTAAAATGCTCAGGTCTGCACTAAAGAGTCTATGAGGAATTAGAATATCAATTCCTGCTTCTGAAAGACATATAAGGGTTTAGAAAGATTAACAGACATGCATTTCTAAATTAAAATCAAAACGTTGTCCTCAATGGAACTGTCAGTGTATACCTGCAGAGTTTAAAACAATCTTTGTAAAAGGCTCTTTTCAAAGCAATGAAATGAAGGAAATGGAAACCTGGGAGAAAAATGTTCCCTGGCAATGCCTGTGATACAAATCTCTCAACCTCCACAGAAGCCTTTTTCTCTTCTCAAATCTTTTTTAAAGTTATATTGTGGAGTTCTGAATTTGGTTATTTGCTTACAGATGTTTCATTACCTAACTAGGTAACATCAGCAGCCAGCAAAACTCAAACAGCACCAAGAACTATGCAGTTCAAAACTGCACTACGTACATTCCCTTCTATTCAAAGCTATATTGTTTTCATTTTATCTTATCAGTTTACTAATTTATAAGTTGGTTTAATAGTCCGCAGAATTTATTTGATAGATGACATAACAAATAATAAAAATATTCCCAAATACGTTAATGTGTAGTTATGTCTACACGTGTATACAGGTGCAAAAATAAACTATTCCATGCCATCACATTTATGACTTGTATGGTAAAATATATATATTTCACTGATTTTATATAACATTTTGGAAGCCAACCAAAGAATTTCATACCAGTTTATGTCAAGAATTTGGAAGTTAACAACCCAAAAAAAGTAGACTGCTGCATTTTTCGGACTATAAGATGCGCATTGGTTTAGAGGAGGAAAACAAGAAAAAAAGTAGTTTTTTTTGCCTCTGTGCATCCTTGTTTTTGTCCTCCCCGGCATCCAGAAGCACTCTGCAAGCCAAAAATGCACTGGTTTTTGGCCTCTGGAGGCCTCCATGGATCCCATTTTTGGCCTGCAGAGTGCTTCTGGACGCCGGGGACAGAGGTGGTATTCAGCAGGTTCTGACCAGTTCTGGAGAACCGATAGCAGACATTTTGAGTCATTCAGAGAACCGGCAAATACCACCTCTGACTGGCCCCGCCCCCCATCTATTCTCCACCTCCCGAGTCTCAGCTGATCAGCTGGGTCTTCTTTGGTTGCCCTGCACAGGAGAACGGAGCTGGAAAGCAGGTCAGAGGGGTGGGAGAGAATTGGGATTTTGCAGTATCCTTCCCCCAGGAGTGGGGTGGGAATGGAGATTTTATAGTATTCTTCCCCTGCAATGCCCACCAAGCCACACCACGCCCACCAAGTCACGCCCACAGAACCGGTAGTAAAAAAAAAAAATGAATCTCACCACTAGCCAAGGAGGGCAAAAATGGGACCCCCCAGAGGCCAAAAACGGGCCCATTTTTGGCCTGCAGAGTGCTTCTGAATGCCGGGGAGGGCAAAAACAAGATGCACGGAGGGTTTGGGAGCCAAAAATGGGCCCGTATTTGCTGTATAAGATGCACAGTCATTTCTACCCATTTTTGTGGGGGGGGGGGAGTGTGTCTTATATTGTGAAAAATACGGTAATTTTGGAACTATGAGAACGTTTATTCATTCTTTACACAAATAAATCAATATCCTGCACAAATTACCTCTGCGTGTAATTTGAAACTACTGTATGAAT